GACTAAAATCCCATCTTCAACACATAGCACACACTCAGAAACAGACTTAGCTACAAGAAGGAGCTTGTCTCTTGCTAGTTTAGCTTAGCTCTTGGGAAGGATCGGAGGCTCACACTTATTCCAAAACGTAAATAAGACACTGGAAACACAGGAACAGGACAGCGGGACGCGTAGTGTGGGTGCTGTGTCCTAACAGTATGGACAGCTTCTCTCCTCCCCAAGAGATGAGTGGGGGGCTGCACCCCAAGCCCTAGGGAGTCCTTGTTTGGAGGCTCTGTGGAGGATGCCGATTCTACAAGTCATTTTACATTCAATTACTCTGGGTGTCAGGCAGCAAAGTTTCTTAGCAAGAATTCCCAGACATGGATCTTTATAAATAAGATTTTTTTAAAAAACATGTTTGTCCCAGTGCGTATTTACCAGAGCAAGAGGGTGATGAAACCTAGTCTCGTGTCCTAAACGGGTTTTAACAGCCACATGTGTTTTTGTCCCCATGTGCTTGGGGGATTTCATAATCCACACTGGCCACAATCATTCAAATCAGGCTTCATAAAAAGTTTTGTTATAAACAAAGCATTTTAAGTCGCTAAGTCGTCATCAAGGAGTATTAAAACACACAAAAATATTTTTCCAGGACAAACAATTCCCAAAATACTATGGAGGGACTCAGATTTAAGCACCCATGTTCACATTAGCTGAAAGACAGAAGCCACCCAAGCACCATTTGTGGATAAATGGAGTGTGGTTTATACACATGGACGGAATATTACGCAGCCTTAAGAAGCACATCCTGCTTCCACATGGATGAACAGCCAATATCGTGTGATTCCACCTCGGAGAGGTGCCCAGAGTGGTACCTTTCCACAAAGAAAGGTGGCTGCCAGGAGCTGACGGGAGGCCGGAACCCAGGAGCCCGAATTTGACAGGCGCAATTTCAGCTTGGAAAGATGAAAACGTTCTGGAATGTGGTAACTGTGCCCAGCACCAGGCCAACTTAATGCTCATGAACTACATGTTCGCCACAGTGAGTTCCATGTGATGTGCATTTTAACCCAATGGAGAACATCAGAGAGCACCTGCAACTCAGAGGAAAAGGAAGAGCAGGTCTCTATCAACGACCTTGGGCCAAAGAAAGTTCATTTGGATAATTCCAAGCAAGAGAATTCCCGAGGAACCAGGTTGCGACCCTGCCCTGAGGAAGGAGGAGGAGAAAAATCTCCCCTCTGTCTCACTTCAATTCAGAAAAATAGTACAAGCCCCAATCACTTTGGAAATTAAAGGGAAAACGAATCACACGCTGCTGAGATGGGACTCTCAGTCCCAGCCCAGAACCCCGGAGCTCTGGGTGTTCACCTGGGCACCTCCGGCACAGCGCCCCAGGAGTCCCGTACCTGCATCAGAAGGGAACAGCCTCAGACACCACAGTGTCCAGCAGGAACTCAAGCCATTCGTCATCTTTACTGTCCAAGCAGAGCCTGATAAATTCCAGTTAGGCTAATCCCATTAAGATCTAACACTGTTATCTTTTTTAAGTGAAAATATATTTAATTAGGTCACAGGAAGGAAGGGGCAGTCTGGCTCCCCGGCTTCAGCCCCCGTTTCTCGGGGCCTGCAGACATGATAGGAATATGGATGAAACTATTTGTTCCTGGCACATTTCTTCTCCTTCTCCTTGCCCTTCCTCCCTGCAGTCACGTTGATGGACATTTTACTGTACCTTGCCACCAAAGAGCTCGCAAGGGAAGGGTAGTTCTTCGGAAGTGAAGACGGGCAGAATGTTTTCCATCCACACCACCTTCCTCCCACCTGCAGCCCTGGAGGACTGCGCAGGGAGAACCCCGAGCGCCAGGCTGCCACCACGTCTGAGTACCTATTTCTTTCGCAACACTGAATAAAAGATCAGGCAAATGATCATTGACCTGGAAAATGGCAGAATCACACATGGTGTACCTCATCGTCAAGGAGGAATGGAAAACGAATGGTTTCGTGGGCAGCAAGACACACAGGACGATGGAAAGGCCTCTCCTGGTACTCAGAGTCCTAGGATGGCAGGTTCCAAAGAGCCATTTAAAAAAAATGATCATAATAAAGCGCACACACACATACAGAAGGTAGCCCCATCTGTGAGTGTCCAACTCTGGGGAGGCTGGAGGCTAGGATTTTCCAAACAGCTCTTGGGGACTCTAGCACATCCCTACCCAGGCGTCCACGCCAAACAATCTCTACCTGATGGAGTCCACCCCTGGGCCTTTCTGCACTCACCTGGTTTAGAATGATCTGGAAAGATAAACAGAAAGCTCCAATAGATTCAAATTATTTTTTTTCTGATTCTTATCAGATAAGGTGATTTTCATTTATTCTGATTACAGGTTTCGCTAGAATGAGAAACAGGTGGTCTATGAATATTTGGTATTGCTGGGAGCAAATTTACATATCGCCAGAAAACAGAAATTTTCTAATCACATAAATCATAAATTGTAATCACACAAGAAACAGGTCTTTCGATGTCTCTTAGATGAGAAACAGTTCTTCAAAAGGCCTCGGAATCAGAGCTCTGGGGCCCACATCTCTCCAAAAACCTGCCAGACGGTGAAGAGTCCACAAAACGGTTTGGGAAACGCGTAAATGCAGGTCTATTGTCCTAAAAGGAAACAGTTGACTGAGACCAATCAGGTTTTAAACGCCTGCTATCAATTAAGAATAAGTAAATTTATGAATTGATTAGATTTCTTCCTCATCTTGGCAAACGAAATCGGGCCTTCGCTTCCGCCCCATCTGCCCTCAGCAGGGGAGGAAAGGGCACGAGACAGAATCAGCACCACCGGCATCAAAGAAAACACCTCCGCCCCGTATTTTTTATTGGAAAAATAAATTTTGTTTTCCAGTAAGCTATTTCATTTTTTTTCTTAAATCTGTTTTTCCTCAAGGCTAAAGTTCTATTTATTTTTCAATGAGGCCCACGAAACCTCCCAAGTGCAACTTGGACCTGCATCTGGCTGATCCTCCAAATGTGACCAACCCAATTCACGCTGCTCATTTTCTAATGAGTGCTGCGATCTGGGGAGAGCACGCGGGAGAGCCAGCAGACTAACCGGGGCTCCTGGGCAGCAGCGGGCAGGCAGGGTGAGCCAATCCCGCAAGTCAAGCTCTAACCACGCCTGCCAGAAACCAGGGGGCAAAGGTGAAAAACCCTGCCAAGAACATCCGTGGGACTGGTTTCCCTTTCCTTTTCCACAGACTGTTTCAACACTCCAGCCACCAAGGCAGCTCAACCTTTCCTTTCTTAACTCGGGGACCGCAAGGACATCTTGAAAAATTAAAAATGCCTCACGCTGCAAAATGTAATATCAGTGTCCCCGGCTTCCTTTCCTGGAGCCATATCCTCTTACGGGAAAGAGAAGGACGGCGCGGCCAGAGGGGGTGTCGTTGGCATGCTACCAAGTGCACACGTTTCTGACCGAGACACCTACAGACAGAGCTGGCCAGATCTCCTCCCCAGACCCAGACTGGCCAGAGACACGGCAGAGAGGGTCAGCCCCAGAGCCAAGCAAACCGCAAAAGGCTAGAGATGGCGGGAAAACTCCGAGTCAGCTCCCTGGTGGGGTAAATAGGGAACGGTAAGCCCCCCAGCATACCTGCTCAAGGGCTATGCTCATTCTCCTCCCACCTGAACCCCAAATCAAAGGCAAGTCCCTAGCAGTGGCTCCAAAGCAGGACAGCAAAGAAGGAGGCTTTAAACCCTGTGGGTGTAGAGACCCCAACTCCTCCCCACCCCACCCCACCACCCATCAAAGCCAGAATCACCTGAGGTCAAGGGAGGGCAATGTCAAAGTCCTCTCGGGTGACTCCATTTGTCCAATCGGCCATTGAGAACCACGGGTTTAAAAACGATGTTAGAAAACAGAAGCCGTTTCCCTATCACACCCTCCCAGGGCTTTACTTTCGCTGGTCGGTCCTGTTCCAGAAAGTTGGTCACCACGTCCACCCCCCCTGCTCCCAGGCACACTTCACAGTGCAGAAACAGGTGGGCCTGCTGCTCCCCACGGCTGACTTGGGGCAGACCCCACAAGGAATGGCAGGTGGTTCCCCACCCTGGTGCCCAGGAGTGTAAGCGCACATGTCTGTGTATCTGAAGTGCGCAGGACAAGTTATGATGTGCCACACAAAGGCAGATGCAGACTCAGGTGTGCAGAGAGCACAGAATCTTGGCCTTGCACAGTGGCTTCCATTCCTCACCCCAAGTTAGAATCCCCTGGAAGGCTTGTGCCCAGCCCACTCCCAGGACCCCCGACTCAGTCAGCCTGGGTGAGGGTCTACTTTTGTGCTCCTCTGACAGGGCTCCTGAGGAGCTCATGCTGCAGTCTCAGAACCCCATTTTGAGAAAACCTTCTCTGGGTGCATGTCTGACATCACCAGACATTGGAAATACAAACAGAAATGGATCTTTATGGTAACTCTAGTTACCACTGGAATATTGAATACCCCTCCATATATGATATGAAGGACTTATTCTGAATTATGGTTTAAAATGAGAAAATAGTATGGATATATATGTATTTTATATATAAATAAATAAATTGATACATATAAAATATTATCTACATTAAAGTATATGTCATATATATGATTTTTAAGAGTGTCCTTACTTTGAAGAAACATACATTGAAAAAAATAGTTGTAAACACTGCAGATAAGATTGACCCAGGCATGAGCCTGCCTCCTTCCTCAGAGGTACCCCTCATCCTGAAGTTGGTACTGAACGAGCCATGCAGATTTTATGTCACCACCGTGTACACGTATGAGTACATAAAGACAAAACCAAAAACACGAAAGGAAAACAGCACAGACAAGTCACTGCAAGAAATAGGTAAATGCCCAAAGGAGAACTAGAGGGCGGCGTCAGGAACGCAGGGCAGCCCAAGGAACAGCCAGCCACAGAGACGGCCACCGAGAATCAGTGTGACCTCTCTTCTGGAAATCCCACCCACGGAGTCTCTTACCTGGATAGGCCGATGTGCGAGCTCTTCGCCGTCCCCGTCCCCTGGGTGCTAGAAGAGAAAGGAAACCCGGTCAAACGTGAAGGCTCAACAGGAGGGGGACACGCAGCAGGGGAGGTTGCAGAACTCAGGTCCTCGAGGAGCAAGGGAAGGTCCTTTATTAAGCTCTGCCCTTAGACTGCAGGACACCTGGCCACTCTGGAGCCGGCCAGGGACGGGCTGCAGAGCGTGGAGTCCTGGACAAGGCTGGAAGCCTTCAGAGAGGCAGGGTCCAGCACCAGCTCTGACCTCCTGTTCTAAAGCAGCACCAGCACGTCACGAGGCCTTTCCAGGCCCCGACGTCATGATCTGGAAAGAGGAGGGATTTTACACCTTCTCCTGGGTGGCTCTGCACATGCGGTGCAGTCGGAGAAGCCAGCCAGTGTGGGTATGCACGCAGACCCAGAGGGTTACTTTATGGAGCTGGTGTCACTTATTCTTTAACACAGGGCCGTAGAGCGAGCAAGGGCGGATAGCCACGGAAGCTCCAGACGAGAGACTGTGGCTGAGGGTGCGCCCTAACCTGCGCGAGGAACCAGAACTAGCAATAGCAACAATGAAGACCCCAGCCAGCTGACACTCCAGGAGAGACTGTGCACGCTACTCCACGGACCAGACCCTGCGGCTGGCGTCACCTCAAAGCTACAGTGAACTTCAACTCCAGGTCTTGAGAAGAGCTACAAGATCACATCAAGAGTCAATCCATTTTCTGTGCCTAGCCTCATCCTCCTAAAAAAACATCTGATCGTTTGTGCCAATGTGTTTGGTTACAAAATAACTTCCCGATAGAATATCTAACAAAATTAATTTATAACATTAATTATAAATTAATTTATATTAATTATAAAATTAATTTACTTAAAAGTTTGCATTTTTCCTCTATAAGTTAAAAAAAAAAAAAGTTGGTAACAGGTTATGTCTCTATTCAAGAAAGGAAGTTGGGAGTTTTGCTGTCCCTGAGAATTTTTAGAGACTACACTCCAAAGAACTGATGTCTTAAGCACTTGGTTCCAAAAACAAAGTTCTTGGCAATTCATGAAAGATTCAACTATTGCACAGAGTGGCTGTTTTATTTTTTTTAAGGAGAAATAATTATCTAAGGATTAGAAATATCCTGCCCTGCTCTTGGGCCAAGGCGGGAAAGCAGCTTCAGCAACTCTCTGGGGCACGAGGTCATCTGTATGTGGCAGGGATGCTCATAATTGGCAAAGCACCTTCGCCCAGTGAATCAGGTGAAACGACAACCTATTAGATGGAGCGGTGGTCTGATGTGGGACCCAGCTGCTCGGCTCCCGCCAGGCTTCAAATCATTCAGCATTATCAACCTCCCCCATTAAGTACAATTAATGTTAGGAAATGGAGAAAATAAGCACGGGTAAATAAAATGGCTGACACTCACCAAGCACAGCAGAACCTACCAACTGTGCTCAGACAGCAGCTTCCCGGGCTCCCACTGACCTCGAGGTGCTAATGAGGGAGTTCTGCTAAGATTGCATTAAAAAACCTTCCCACACTTCGCCAGCCCCAACCCCAACCCAAACTCTCCTCCCCATCGCAGCAGGAGGCCCTGGCTAATTGGAATGTGCATAAAACGTGGCCGAAATTGGTTGCAGCAGCAAACACCTCGGGAGCATCCTGGACTACACAATTACACACACACACAATCACACACTCACACACACACAAACACACAATCACACAATCACACACATAATCACATGCACATGCACACACATGCACACAGAGCAGCCAACTGCTTAGCTTTTTGAGAAACCCAGATGAACATCATAAATGTAGATTTTACAATTAAACTCTGTGTGTGATGAGTTCATTTTTTTTCAAAAAAAAACAGGTGGAGTTGGTTTTTTGCAAGCATAAATCTCCCCATAAGCCTGGGTAATGACCAGAGACAGACATAACAAAGATGGCTGGTGAAAGAGAGCTCTAATCACATTAGCTTGGAGTTCTACAGGAAGATGGTTGCTCTGTGTATTTCCCTTTATACGTAGCAACTTCAAAAAAAAAAAAATCCCTATTTTCTTAGTACATCTTTATGTCGGGAAGCCGAGTGCCTTTGAAGGCTCACACAAAACAAACAAGAGTCTTTACAAGTCCTCCCTGACCACCCAGGGAGGATCAAATAGTATTTTTTTCCTCCAGCAGGCCACCCCAGGATACCAGGAATAAAAAGCAAAAGGAGGAATTCATCTTGCAACCAGGATGTGTTTTCCTAGTATAGCTATTACACTGTGTTAATCTAAATATTATGGTATATTCTTTGCTAGTGAAGCCCACAAAGATCTAATTATTCATTTACTGGGGAGAAGAAATTTTGAAAGAGCAGAAAAATAGGTTAAAATCTAGGAAGTAGCCGCGAGGGGGAAGATTAAGGAGCTTTCTTCTTAGAATCCCGAGGATTGAGAGGGGGTTTTCAAGGTGCTCAGAATAGGAGGAGGATGGGGCCGGGCCTCCGTGCTCCCCAGCACCCTGGGTGTAAATGCTCTTGGGGCTTAGACTGCGGGAGCCATCTGGGGATGGCCGCTTCCTGGGCCTCACATGGCAAAGCTTAGGAGCAGGAAAGTGGGTTAGAATCATCAACATCCTGAACCACAGTCTCTGATCACATCTTGCCCAGCACAAAATCTCCATCTGAGCCAAGTCAAGATCAGACAGCCCTGGGCCTCTCCCACCAAACCCAAGCCGCCGCCGCCGTCCAGGCCTCCACTGGTGCCACTCCTCGGGTGTGTGGGCCACCTCTACCCTCTCCTACCAGCATGCAGACGGCCTGAAATGACTCACTCTCTCATCTCTGTTTGGGGTCCACCAACCTCCTCCTGCCTTGTAGCTCTGCCCCAAAGGAGAGCTTTGGGATAGTTCCTTCATCTCTTTTCCTGCCTCAGTTTCCTTATCTGTCAATGGGAATAACAGTGAATAATGCTCACTATCATGAACAGTGAATGAGAGCGTTCATCAACTAAAACTGTTACTAAGGTTTAACAGGCTCCACTCCAACACCAATGCCCCCGCCCCTCAGCTCCCTTAAGCCTTCCTTAACATCTGCAGACAAAAATAATCTCCCCTTCTGTAAACTCCTATCACACCTGAGCCGCAGCTAAGCTGATTCCTGGTCACTCTCCACTGGCCTTAGGACCATACCGCTCCATGTCAGCACACCTACCAGACTGTCCGCTTTGGCGGGGAGAGGTGGCAAGTTGAACGCATTCTTTCCAAAGTCCTCTGCACAGAACTGCAGAACCTCAGGATTCCTGAATTAATAGGACCCTTTCAGAAACCTCAACACTGCTGGAATTTTTTTTCATACAGAAAGAAAAAAGTCCAAGTGAGACTATAAATATACTACCAGCAAGCATCAGCAGCTTCTCCAAGTCGAATAGGTAGATATACCAGTCGGTTATGGGATGGATGCATGGAAGGACAGATGGCTGGACAGACATAAAGATATACAGGGCAGACTCCCAGCAGCCAGCTACAGCATCTCAGATCCCCTAGAGGCCAGGGGACCAACACAACCTGCCCTCACCATGCATGCATTCAGTTACTGAAATTCTTTCACTGTTACTCCTTTAAAACACTTTACAAAGTCCATACCAAGAGAACCCACCATGCTAAAGGGCTGGAATTAGTATTCTTTTTTAACTGTTGTTTTGCTTTTTGTTGGCTTGAACCCAGGGGTAGTTTTACACACAAAGGGCTCAGCTATATCCCCAGCCCTATTGATTTTTTTGAGACAGGATCTAAGTTGCTCAGAGTCTTGCTAAATTGCTGAAGCCAACTTTGAACTTGCAATCCTCCTGCCTCAGCCTCCTGAATTGCTGGGATGACAGGTGTCCATCGGTCACCACGCCCAGCTAGAGTGCAGGTCTCTTAATGGAGTGTAGAACTGTATTTCAAATCCTCCCAGAGAAACGCAGCTCAGCTTTGCCTTCTTCATGCCACAGGCTCCACTGCGTGGCCATCCCACATGCCAATCACGTGCCCATCTCCCCCGGGAGCCCACAGATGAACACTCCTGTGAAGAGCTCCCAGTGCAATGTCATTTCCTGCTCTTCTCTGCCTGCCACCTCCATCTGTCCCTACATTTACTCAGTAAAGTGCAGTGCCAGCATGGAAAACCCCGTCAGAGATAACGCGAAGACTGTGGAATGGCAGCTGGCAAGGCTCCTGGTGGACACTGACATTTGAAGGTTCTGAACACAGGAGTCCATGTTCTTCACTCTCTAAGGTTCAGGAAATTCTACAAACTTCTCAGGTGGAGGGAAGCTCCAAACTAGGACCTGGGGCGTCAGAGGATTTCCCACAATTCGGGGGTTCTGGGATTCCCCCACAGGGCCATGACACTGACAGGGAACATCCTGTCACTTGGCTGTACCTTGTCCACCTCTCTCCAGACCTCTTAGAACTTGGAAACGGCCTGAACGTGGAGCTGGGCAGCACAGCACCTAGATGTCTGTGCTGTGGGACAGAGAGGAGCTGTGGAGAGCTGTTCCCAGCAACTGGTGATGGTGCACATGGAGCAAGTGGGCACAGCCCTGCGTCATTCCTGTGTCCTCCCCGGGGCCAGCTCCCTGCAGCCTGACACATCAGCGTCTGTCTTGCCCATTTCAAGAGACACCCCCTTTCACATAACTTTCATTACAGTCTGTTCTCATAAATGTTCTGTTTTATTAGAAGTTGTCACTGTTAGTCCTGCACCGTGCCTAACTTACAAGTCAAACTTTGCGATGGATATGGATGTCCAGGAAAAGTACAGGGTTATGGAGTCCAGGATCCCCTGGGGTCTTGGAACCTGTCCCATGTGATTGGAGGACCACTACACTGCCCCCAAGGTTCCAAACTTTTCACCTGTGTCACGTCACTCCAGGAGCCTCAGAGGGCCAGTGAGGGGGCCTTGCCCGCACAGGATCTTTCTGAATAGGATGGCAGCTTAAATGTCCGCTATTAGATCAATAAGGGACAACAGTGCCCAGGTCAGCGGCCTCTTCCTGCAGGCC